ATACAGATTGGGCTAGGGATGTAGCTCAGTGGCATAAGTGCCTGTCTGGCATGGACAAGGTCCCAAGTTTGTTCCCCAGTACCGCAAACAAAACAAAACAAAACAAAAAGCCTCATGTAGCAAAAAATAACTATTTTGCTAGATCTACAGAGAAAATGTAGTATAATTTAATAATGGCTTTCCTTCTTCTTTCACTAGCAGCATGAATGCTCTTAAAATTAAAAATTGGGATTCGGAACATAGTTGAGCAGCAGAGTGTTTGGGAAGCATGTGTGAGGCCCTGGAGCTGATACCCAGCACCACCAAATGAAAACAATGGAGCAGAATGGAGAAGGTCCATTTGGCATTAGCGCACAGTATTTGGGAATACCTGAGGCTGGATCCTCATAAGCAGAGGGATTTGCTTGGCCTGGTAGTGCTGGTGGCTGAGGCCTAAACAGCACAGCATGGCACCAGCATCGTGGGGAGGCTCCTCCCCTCACACCATGGTAAAGAAACAGAACCAGTCATGTGCAGAAGGGGGAATCACATGCAGGCCTCACTTTGTAACAGTCCACTCTCTGGTGAACCACTAATCCTGCAGATCAGCACTAATCTTTTCCCAAGGGACTTCCCAAGACCTAATTACCTTGCCTGGGACCCGTCCCCCTTAAAGGTCCCACCATATCCACACTTGGGACCGAGATTCTATGAAACTTTGGGAGACACATTCGAAACCATAGCCAAACTATAGCAAGTGAGAATTAAATCCTCATGAAAATAATGAAACAGACTACACTTAACTGACAGAGAGAGGTTAAGCCTCCAGCCCAGCCCAGGGAACTGAAACAACTTTCAGAAGTGATCATGAAAGTCTTGGAGGGGAGAAAAGCCTTGGATGATTTCAGTCATTTTGTTTCTTGCTTATAGATTTTTAATGCTGCTCCTATCTCTAGGTGGACGTGTGGATAGTTGAACCTCAGGGAATGAGATTCCTTCATGTCCTGGACACATTTGAAGGCCATTTTGATGGAGTTCCTGTGATATCTAAAGGACCCCAGAAGGTACCATAAACACTGCATGTTTCCGGCCCCCGAAGCAGCTATATGCATCTATGCTCTGGAGAATAAAAACAAGGTCTGATGTTAGACCAAACTTACTATATAAGGACCAGTGGTCCCCAGTAGGAGTCTAGGATCTTTTTTAAAAAAAATTTTTTTTAAATATTTTATTTATTTGGTACGGGGACTTGCTACGCAGCTTGCACTTGTAGTGATCCTCCTGTCTTAGCCTCCCCAGCATGGTGATTACAGGTGTGAGACACCATACCAGGTTTCCATGGCCAGTATGGTGTGACCGGTTTCTAGGGCCAGCATGGCATGCGGTATCGGGGATCAAACCTGAGTCTTTGTGCATGTCAGGCAGGCACTTAAATATCTGAGCTATCTCCCTAGAGTCCAGGATCTTTTATCAAAGATATGAAACAATGCTCTCAATTGCTCTCATTCCCTTTGACCAATGACTGTCCCTTTTGAAACCTCATTTCTCCCTACTCATCTACTTGACATTAGCTAAAGACAACTTCCATATGATACATAATGCCTTTTCATGAATCACAGAAAGCATTATTCAGGGGAGCGGGGAGATAGCTCAGTAGAATAAGTACTTGCCTGGCAAAAAAGAAAGAAAGCGTTATTCAGCTGAATTCCTTCTGCCTCAATGGGCAATGATAAGAAACTATAAATAAGTCAAACTTGTCTAAGAACCTTCACAAACCTTTCCCAGAGCTGATAGTCATCCCTTCCTTGAGGCACAGGTAAGATTCTTTGAATTACTTTTGGAAGGGCTGAAAGTGTGGTAATCACTTCCCTTCAAAGCTCTGGCTCTTCCTCTTCCACCAGTAACAGTTTTAGTGACGCCACTGATGTGGGGCACAGAGGCCCCTGGGAAGCACATTCTCTCCTGTGCATACTACTCGGGTGTAGCCACCAAGCCCTGCTCCAGCAGGGGCTCGAGCAGAGGACAGGTTCTGGTGTTCTTGTTCCTTCCAGGCACATGTGTCCTTCCGGCCCACAGTAGCACAGCAAAGAAAATGTTCCAACTGCTCTGAGACTGCAGTGGACGGAGAACTGGTGGTGGTGTACGACGTGAACAGAGAAGCGAAAGCTGGTGAGCTTGAGGTCAGTATAGGCCGTCTCTGGTAGAACAGACCGGCCAAACCCAAGGAAACTCTTATTGAAGCATCTCCCTGATCTATGGGTAGTTTGTAGCTACCAAGGCAAGTGTCAAAGCTGCAGAGCAGAAACTAAAATCCTACTTCTTTAACAAGCCATACATTATCTTTTGTGTCATAAAAACCAAATAAAGATTCATTGGGTCTTCTGTTAGTCAGAGTTCCGTCACTATACCAAAATATCTGAGATAGTTAACTCATAAAGAGGCAAGGTTTGTTTGGGCCCAACATTTCAGAGGTTCATGACCAGGTGGGCTGATTGCTTTAGCCCTCTGGGTGAAGCACAAGATGGCAACAGAGGGGAGTGGAGAAGGAAGCAAACTGATTGTCTCACGGACAGGATGAAAAGAAGAGCAAGCGGCTAGAAACTCCCCCTCCCCCTCAAGGTTGCACTCCCAACACCAAGGACCTTCCATGAGGTCCCTCCTGCTGCAGGTCCATGGCACCTCCCAGCAGCACCACACTAAGGAATGGGGTTTAATACACAGGCTTTCAGGGACTCCACCCAAGTCCAGGCCTTAGAAGTCTGTGGTCTTGTCCCAGAAGAGAACCTCCTGTTGCAGCAGCAATACAAACACTGAACAGTTAACTATCCAAGATTAGCAGGCAGATTTATCGAACATCGGTGGGCACTGACCTCAAAAAAAATGTCAGGCCCTAAAGGACCAGGGAGGGAAGTTTTAGGGGGCTGCAAAGGGGAAGTAGAGAGGTAGAATGGCTTGTCAGTTGGGAATTTGCTTGTACAGTGTGCATCGTAGTAACCAGCCATTTCTGGGAAACAGAAGTAATAGAAACTGCAACAGGAACTGAAGGAAACTGGAGATGACCTGGGCAACTAACAGATACTGAAACATACCGGCCAGGGGTGCACATTTTCTGCTACACTATGTAGAACTACAGACATTATAAATTGGGCTTTCTGAGCAATGTTGGAAGGCCCTTTGTAATCAGATGATCAAAGAAAAACAGGTGATTTGGCAAGGAAGCAAGCACACAAAACCCAGAGGAAGAGCAGAGCTAGTGGTGAGCCGGAATTCATGTTTATTGTGAGAGTCCTTCCAGATTTTCCCTTCTGCCTTTGCCACATCTAAAATATGTCTCCATTCTCCTGTACTGAGGTGGGAAGCCCTAGAATATATCAGAAAACCTGTGAGGCCTTCCAGGGACAGAGGGTGGAGATATGTATTGGAGGCCACCGCCATATACACAGCATCTAGGACCATAATGTCTGGACAGACTGAAGGGCAGGGAAGGGCAATTGGGCAGCCAGTCATGTGGAGACAAGATACTGAGCAGAAATCTAGCTGGATGGCCTCCTGCTAACTTTGACGGGGACAAAAGTTAAATTTCCTGAAGTGACACAGAAATGTCCTTTGTGCACTGTCTGGTTTAGTTTCCATCAAATGTCTTCAATGCTTGAATTCTATGGCCCCATGTTGCTGTTACTCCAGCAGCCCCAAGTGTGCCCTATTCTTTTGTCTCTTTTTGGAATTCTCTCCATTTTTCCATCCCAACTGAACACAGTTCCCACAATGGCAGGCTAACTCAGGCACACATTACCTCTATGTCCTTGGGGAAGATTCCCTCATCTGAGGTAGGGGCTCCTCCATTACACTCTCTTTGCCTTCTGATTCATGGCACTAGGCATGTGTGCTTCCACTACAGGGCTTGTCTGTGTCCTTCACTGTCCACAAGTATCATAAGAGCAGGGACCTAGCCCACTTCTGCCTGGGTTAGTAGGGTAGAAACAGTGGCTTGAGATAAAGACTACATGAAGCACAGTGTCATGAAGTGGGTGGAAACTTTGCTGGGAAAGCTTAGAACCTCACCTCAGCAGAACAAGGCAAAGCAGCAGAAGGGAGAGGTGGTCCTGCACCTAGCTTCTACCTCTCACGTCGATGAGGGCCCCGCTTCCATCTTCCATCCCCAGCTTCTCCTCTTCTTGCCCCCAGCTCCCATTCCCAACCTTCTAGATTTTGGCCATTAATCTAACTCACATATCTAATCTATTTTCAGGTGTTCAATGGATATTTTGTCCACTTCTTTGCTCCTGAGAACCTGGACCCCATTCCTAAAAATATCCTTTTCGTCATTGACGTTAGTGGCTCCATGTGGGGAATTAAAATGAAACAAGTAAGTGCAGCCTTATGGGAAATGGTAGCTGGGTCCTTCCTTCTGCTTTTTTTAAGAAAAAATTTATTTTTTAAAGAGACTATATAGTGGCCAGGGAGATAATTAGGAGCCGGGGAGATAGCTCAATAGAATAAGAGCTTGCCTGGCAAGTGCAAGGGCCTGAGTTCAATCCCCGGTTCCACCCCCCCCAAAAAGAGAGAGAGAGAGAGAGAGAAAGAGAGACTATAGGACCAGCCAAATAGCTTAGTGGATTAAAGTACCTGCAAGCAGTTGCAGGGCCAGGGGTTCGATCTCTGGGCCTGCTGTGTCAGCTCCCCCCACCCGGAGCACACTGCCTGAGACAACTGAGACTGGGCGTGGTGGTTCGCGCCTATAATCCCAGCACTTGGGACGCTGTAAACAGGAGAATCACTATGAGTTCAACCTAGTAGTGAGATCCTGCATACCTTGTAGACCTTTCCTAAAATACAATAAAAATAATAATCACGATAATAAAAAGACTATAAAATAGTATTAAAACAGAAAAATTATAAGTGATACAGAATTTCACTTAACAAAGTAATATGAATTTCATAGTATTTGTTGTAATGCAGTGTTGTCTTCCAACCAGTTATTCATATTACCAGATATATGCATGCAAAATAGGAAAAAGAGAGAAACAAAGAAATATATACATAAGAAATTAAGAATAGTAAAAGGAGAAATAATTAAAAAAGGAGACAAAACAAATTAAGCATTGTCTGCTCCTTTCCATAGACCAGCAGAAATACACACTACAGCTGTCCCAACCATCCTGCTTACATACGTACATATATCACTTAACCCCACTCCCTCTCCAGTCCTTCTCCTCAACTCCGTAACTCTTTCTTTTTGAATAAGTTCATCCCCTTTTCCCAGTATCGTACCATTCAGATACCATTTTCTCTTTCAGGTTCTCACAATAAGAAGACAATGCAATGTTTGCACACATGGGTCTGAGTTATTTCACTTTAGAGTACATTCTCTAGTTGCATCCACTTACTGACAAAGTCTCAAATGTATCCTGTTTTGTAGCTAAATAGTAATCCATTATGTAAAAATACCACATCTTCTTTACCCATTCCTCACTTGATGGGCATCTGGGTTGTTTCCACAACTTAGCTATGACAAATTGTCCTGCTATAAACGTGGGTGCACATATGTTGCTGTGGTATGAGGTTTTCAGTTCTTCTGGAAAAATACACAGGAGGGGAAGATCTAGCTTGAATGGGATCTCCAGTCCTAGCTTTTAAAGTATTCTCAACACTGATTTCCATAGTGGTTGTGCCAGTCTGCACTCCTACCAACAGTGGATTTTTTTTTTTTAATTTTAGGGAAGGGTCTACAGGGTGTTTGGGGTCTCACTATTAGATTGGACTCATAGTGATCCTCCTGTTTACAGTCTTCCAAGAGCTGGGATTACAGGAACACACCACCATGCCCAGTCTCTAAGTTCAATCAGTTCATTTCTCTCTCTCTCTCTCTTTTTTTTTTTCTTTTTGGTGGAACCAGGAATTGAACTCAGGCCCTTGCGCTTGCCAGGGAAGTGCTTATTCTAATGAGTTATCTCCCCAGCCCCGAGAGAGAGAGAAAGAGAGAGAGAGAGAGAGAGAGAGAGAGAGAGAGAGAGAGAGAGAGAGAGAGAGAGCCACCAACAATGGAAAAAGGTTTTTTTTTTCTCCACAGCCCCTCCAGCATTTGTTATTGGCTGACTTCTTCCTCTTCCTCTTCCTCTTCCTCTTCCTCTTCCTCTTCCTCTTCTTCTTCTTCTCCTCCTCCTCCTCCTCCTCCTCCTTCTCCTCCTTCTCCTTCTCCTCCTTCTCCTTCTCCTCCTTCTTCTATTTAGTACAGAATCTACAGGGACTTAATACACAGATCAGACTCAGTGATCCTCTTGTTTTCAGCCTCCCAAGTGCTGAGATTACAGGTATGCAATACCACACCCAGTCTCAGTTGCCGTCTCAGCATGCCCCAGGGGCAGAGCCAGCACAGCATACTGGTGATTGAACCCCAGTTCCTGTGTCTGCCTAATTAGTTGTTTTAATCCACTGAGCAATCCACTGGCCCTTGGCTGACTTCTTGATGTTTGTAAATTTTTTCTGGGGTGAGATGATATCTTGTTAATTTGCATCTCTCAAATGACCAATGATGTTCAACATTTTTTCATATATTTACTTGGCATTTGTATTTCTTCATCTGACAAGTGTGTATTTATCTCAGATGCCCATTTTTGGATTGGGTCTTTGAATTTGGGGGCTTCATTTTTTTAAATTCTTTATATGTTCTTGATAGAAGGCCTTTACCAGAGGGACAGTCACCTATAATTTTTTCCTAATACATTGATTTTCTTTTTACTCTGTTGGAGATTTTCTTCGAAGTGCAGAAGCTTGCCAAAAAGATGAGATCCCAATTGTTGATTTTTTGAAGTATTTCTTGTGCACTTTGGTTTTTGTTCATGAACTCTCTACCTACCCATATGTCTTTAACATTTCTACCTACATTTTCCTCCAGAAGATTTAGCATTTCTGTTTTTATATTTAAATCTTTGATCCATTTTGACTGTAGTTTAGTGCAAGGGGATAGACACGCATCTACTTTTAGCCTTCAGCATGTGGAAAGCCAGTTTTTCCAGCACCACTCATTAAAGAGGCTATCTTTCTTCCAGTGAACATGTTTGGCTCCTTTATCAAAGATAAAGTGACTGAGTGTGTTTGCAGTTGTGTGTGTATCTTTAATCTGTTCCATTGATCCACAGATCTGTCTTTATAGTATAATTTCAGGTCAGGGATTGTGATACTTCCTACCTTTGCTTTGTTTCCCAGGATTGCTCTTGATATTGTAGGTCTCTTTTGATTCCAAATAAATTTGAGGAAAGTTTTCTCTAGCTCTGTGAAGTATACTAATGGTATTTTAATCAGGATTGCATTGAATCTGTATAACAATTTTGGGAGTATGGCCATTTTCACAATGTTGGTTCTTCCTATCCAGGAGCATGGGGTATCTTTCCATTTTCTCAAATCCTCTTCAATCTCTTTTCTCAGAGTACCATAATTTTCACTGTATAAATCTTTTACTTCCTTAGTGAGATTGATTCCTAAGTATTTCATTTTTTGGATGTTATTATGAAAGGTCTGGTTTCCCTAATTTCTCTCTCAGTGTGTTCACTGTTTGTGTACAAAAATGCTACTGATTTTTGGGTGTTAACTTTGTATCCTGCTACATTACTGAATTTGGTAATTAAATCTACAAGACTCCTGATGAAGTTTTTGGGGTCCTGTATGTAGAGTATCATGTCATCTGCAAATAATGATAATTTTACTTCTTCTTTTGCAATCCTTATTCCTTTTATTTATTTCTTGTCTCTAATTTCTCTGGCTAATGTTTCCAGAACTATATTGAATAGGAGTGGAAAGAGTGAATGCCCTTGTCTGGATCCTGGTTTTTAAAGTGAAGGCCTTCAGTTTTTGCCCATTTAGTATGATGTTGGCTGTTGGTTTCTCATAGATTTTTTTTTCGGGGTTGAGATCTAGATTATCTATTCCAATTCTTTGTTGTGTTTTTATCATGAATGAGTGTTTGACGTTATCAAAAGCTTTTAGTGTATCTACTGAGGTGATTATGTGATTTTTGTTCTTGGCTCTATTGATGTGATGTATTACATTTATGGATTTGCATATGTTGAACCATTCCTGAATTCCTGGGATGAATCCTACTTGGTCATGACATATAATCTTCTTGATGGTTGGCTGCATTCTGTTTGCTAGTATTTTATTGAGGATTTTTCCATCTATGTTCATGAGAGAGATTGGCTTGTCATTCTATTTTTTTAGTGGGATCTTTCTCTGGTTTTGGAATCAGTAATACTTGCTTCCAGGAATGAGTTTGGGAGAAATGCTTTCCTTTCAATTTCATTGAAGAGTTTAAGAAAAATTGACATTAAATCTTCTTTAAATTTCTGGTATAATTCTGCTGTGAATCCATCAAGACCTGGGCTTTTCTTTGTCAGTAGGCTTTTTATTACATTTTCAATTTTGTTTCCTATCATTGGGATATTCAGAGTTTGTATATCTTCTTGGCTCAGCTTTGGCATTTCATATATATCTAGGAAACTATTTCCTCTGTGTTTTCCATTCTGTGAGAGTAAAGATTTTGGAAGTAGGTATTGATGATCTTCTGAATTTTTGTAGGGTCTGTAGTGTCCTCACCCTTTTTATTCCTTATTGCATGTATTTGGGTTTTTTTCTTTCCTTCTTTTGATTACGTTGGCTAGGGGTTTATCAATTTTATTTATTCTTTCAATAAACTAACTTTGATTCATTTATTATTGTTTTCTTCATCTCCATTGCATTTGTGCTCTACTCTTTGTAATTTCCTGCCTTCTTCGGGCTTTGGGTTTGACTTGCCCTTCTTTTTCTAGTAGCTTGACATGCAGCATAAGATCATTTATTTGAGCTTGTTCTGTTTTCCTAATGTGTGAATATTTTTAATTTCTTCTTTAATTTCATATGTGACTCACTGGTTGCTTAGGAAGTTGTTATTTAATTTCCATATATTTATGGTGTTTGATAGTTTATTTTGTCGACAATTTCCAGTTCCATTGCACTCTGGTCAGAAGGTATGCATGGGATAATTTCAATTTCTTTGCATTTACTTAGGAGTGCTCTGTGTGCTAGAATATGGTCTATTTTGGAGAATGTCTCATGTGCAGCTGAGAAGAAGGTGTATTCTGTTGTCACTGGATGAAACACTCTGTAAAGGTCTACCAAGTCGATTTCTTTGTAAGTTTAGTTTAGTTGTTATTTCTTTGCTGATTTTTTGCCTAGAAGATTTATCTCTTTGTGACAGTGGTGTGTTAAAGTCCCCCATTACAATTGTATTATTGCTTATTTGATTTTTTCATGTCTGTTAAAATTTGTCTTATGTAGGTGGGTACTCCTACATTAGGTGCATATATATTTATAATTGTTATTTGTTCCTCCTGC